CACCCCCATCCCCGCTCCTCACCCCCATCCCCAAGGTGGTTTTTCAGGTATAAAAGTCTTGGCACCCTCCTTTCGACACCACAGGTTGGAGAGACGTGAGTCCTCTGTGGTCGCCGGCATAATAAATGACCCTGCAATCTGGCATACTTTTGTCTTGGTGCTAACTTTCTACGCTCGGTCCAGTACAACACATACACACACACACACACACAGACACACACACAGTAAGAGATTCGGAAATAAAAACCCAGTTTTTCTTGTTTTAAAATAATACTGTCTATACAGAAAACACAAACGAATATACAGAAAAATGTATATACAGGCAGAATTTCTGGATAAATTAAAATATGGAAAACCAACAGCATTTTAACAGCAGTAGCTACTTAAAAGAGCAAAACCAGCTATAAATTAAAAGTGATTTCAGTTTAATTTATAAAAGTGCCATTGATTAACATCAAAGACACACTGAGTAAAGTAGATAGCTCATTTCATGAATGAGGGAGTTCAATTCTGATAAAATTAGTAGTGATAATAATAACAAAGCCAGCATTTTATTGCGCATGTTCTATGTGCCAGGCACATTTTCCAAGTACTTTACGAAAATCATTTTACTTAGTTCTTACAGAGATTGCACCATTGTACTCCAGCCTGGGCAATGTGAGCGAAACTCCATCTCAAGGAAAAAAAAAAAAAAGAGGGAGAGAGAAACACATCTAAAAGTACAAATGGAGATACATGATGCTTGATGGGATACTAGATTAAATTCAATGTGTTTGGATTTCATTATTAGAGTCAGAGTGGAATTGTGCAACATATTGAGACAGCAAAAACAGCATTGAAAAGGAAATTATTGGGCTGCGCGGTGGCTCTTGCCTGTAATACCAGCACTTTGGGAGGCCGAGGCGGGTGGATCACCTGAGGTCAGGAGTTAGATACCAGACTGACCAATATGGTGAAACCCTGTCTCTATATTAAAAAAAAAAAAAAAGAAATTATTGGCCATGCTAAGCTTGATTGTAAGAAACCCAAGGTGACATTTAAGCATTTGAGTCAGAAACTCAGGAACGACGTAAGAACAAAGCTAGGAGCCAGACACTGCAAAATTAGAAAGAGTGCGGGCTAAAGACAGAAGGTAGGTGAACTAGGCATGTTATCCATAATCAAAATAGGAAAAGGACTTCATTTTTTTTAAAGCAGCAAAAATGGGAACCTCAAAACAATAAGCATGGGTGAGCTTGGTAATGGGAGTCAAGAGGATTGATATGAATGAGCAGAGACCTATACAGCGATTGCTCGACTTACGACCACAATTGGTCCCGACAGACCGGTCTTAACACAATTTGGTCGTAAGTTGAGTAGGCTATATGTACAGTACTGTGAAATGATGTTATAAAAACCTTTAAGTCATATTTTATCATAATTTTCTTTCATTATTGTTATATATCATAATTTTCTTTGTTCATTTTATGCCATTTGTATCATCTCTACACCATTTTGTTTCTTATTTTTACATTGGTGAGGTTTAAGTAAAACACTGCATTACCAGTACAACTGGTTTAATATTTGCAAAACATACAAAATCACAAAATACAGGTGCATACAAAAATACAAAATACAGGTGTAAAAAATACCATAGGAAACATTTTCCCAATTGCAAAACACATCAAAATATATAAACATGGCCGGGCATGGTGGCTCAAGCCTGTAATCCCAGCACTTTGGGAGGCCGAGGCGGGTGGATCACGAGGTCAGGAGATCGAGATCATCCTGGTCAACACGGTGAAACCCCGTCTCTACTAAAAATACAAAAAATTAGCTGGGCATGGTGGCGCGTGCCTGTAGTCCCAGTTACACAGGAGGCTGAGGCAGAAGAATTGCCTGAAACCAGGAGGTGGAGGTTGCGGTGAGCCGAGATTGCACCATTGCACTCCAGCCTGGGTAACAAGAGCAAAACTCCGTCCCCCCCCAAAAACAAAAAACAAAAAACAAAAAACATATATATATATATATATATATATATATATATATATATATAAACATGCACAAAACATTTTATTGGCCGCTGGTGCTTGGCTGTGGGTCGTTGATGTCATCATCTGAGGCAGTAGTTGGGGTTACCGGAATTGGTTTTTTCATAAACATGGTGAGATTTGTCTGAATTGTATATTTCTTTTTTTCTTCATAAATTTCATGGTATGAACGAAACACATCGTGCGCCATCCGTTCAATCCTTGCAAATCGTTCGATGTTTGGGTCCATTGCTTCGAAATGTATAAGAAGTTTATTCAGTAAAGATAAACCATCTGATAATCCCTTAGTGGTGAACTTTCTTTCTGGCTCCTCCTCTTCTTTCTCTGCTTCTCTTCTTTCTTCTTCCGCCACTCTTTCTTCTTCCAGTTCGATTAGCTCTTCATTTGTAAGTTCTCCGGATTCTTTGTCTAGCAACTCTTCTACGTCTTCCATTTCACACTCCAGAGAAAGGTCTTTAGCGAGTTTTACTATTATTTCCTGAATCGTTTCAAGTTCATGTTCACTGTCAAATCCATCAAAATCGTTAACATAGCACTTAACATAGTTTTTCCAGATGCCATTCATGCACTTTGTCGTCACAGCCTCCCAGGCGGTAGCAATATTCTTGATACGCATCAAAATGTTGTAGTGTTTCCAAAAATCTACAGAGGAGCAGTCGTGGCTAGCGATTGCGGTCGTAAAGTCAAATGGTCGCAAGTTGCATAGGTCATAAGTCGATCAATACCTGTAGTAGAAACAATAGCTTAGTCAGACTGAGGTACAGTGAAATAAGAACAGCAAGACTGTTGGATTTGGTGGAATGTTTACCATCAGAGTCATTGGGACAGATTAAAAACCATGAGTTATCAGACAAGAAGGGATTGAGGTAGAGGTTGAGGCTGTCTGCGACCAGCTTGGTTGGAAAAAGAGGGGCTAGGAGAGGCAATAAGGAACAGTAGCAAGAGAAAAGGGTGAGATAGGTGGGGAGAGGAGATATTGTTACTGTTGTTTTTTAATAAGCTTTTTCCGGTCTCAGAGAAAAGAGCTAAAAGAGGGAGAGGTTTAAAAGATAAAAAGATAACTCAGAAAGTAAGGTCTTAGAGTGGAATTTGAGTGAATTAGACCAGTACTATTCAAAAGCTGCTCCACAGACCCTCAACATCAGCACTAACTGCTATCTTTTTTCTTTTTTTTTTTTTTTTAAAGATGGAGTTTCACCATGCTGGTCAGGCTGGTCTTGAGCTCCTGACCTCACGTGATCTGCCCACATTGGCCTCCAAAGTGCTTGGATTACAGGCGTGAGCCACCACACCCGGCCTAACTGCTACTGTAAATTAGAATCTGTGACGCTAGGACCCAGGAATTCGATTTGTAACAATAGCCCCAGGTAATCCCTATTCAATCTAAAGTTTTAACAGTGTCATTCATGATTAGAGACTTTAAAAAGAACATAGAAAGCCTTCCCAGACAAGATTTTGAAATACACTGTTAGAGTCAAATCTGAGTAAGAACTGAGTGCAAAGGAAAGTAGACAGACTTTTGATAAAATAACCTTTCTGGGCAGGGTGCGGTGTCTCATGCCTGTAATCCAAGCACTTTGGAGGCCAAGGCGGGCAGATCACCTGAGGTCGGGAGTTCAAGACCAGCCTGACCAGCATGGTGAAACCCCGTCTTTATTTAAAAAAAATTAAAAAAATAAAGTATTTCCGTTGGAGACTTTCACTAGGGATAATAAATGTAAAATCACTATTTTATTTTCACATAAGGTGAATTGCCATCAGCACTTTTGACAGTATCTTAGAATTCTAATTTACATAGTAAGTATTTATATATTTAAATATTTGGGTATATAAATATATATTTACACATGTCCAAACTGATAAGAAAAAATTTCTCAGAAAGCAAACATCTCAAAATATTTACGTAAGCCATATTGTTAAACAGAATATTAAAAATTTAGATAGAAATGAACATAAATGAGAAGTGACTTTTTATCAAAATGTACTATGTACATAACATACTATAAAATACATATGTAGCATACATATAAAATAATTAATATGTGTTGACTTGTTTCCCATTGGATTTGCCTCTCTGCAATGAAAACAGACTCAGGAAGGATAGCACAGAAGAAATAGCCTGTTACTGCCCTTTATTAGCTGGTCCATCTTCCTGCCCTGGCTCCATCATAACTTTTTTTAGAGAATGTCTCTCTCTTCTCAGGTGCCCACCATTCTGATGTCATCTACTTGTTAAGTTAGCCAATAACATTTATTTTAAAAAACTGCCGCCTGTGAAGGTAAGAGAAGCACACATCCCCAGCAGGATGCTTTTTCTTCCAATATCAAGTACAATTCCTAGGTCAGAAATTTGAGTAAGGACAAAATTATATCATTCTTTCTCAAAGTTTTAGAAAAGTCTCAATTTTGTAGTTTGTGTCTCAATTTCTGCATAACAGGCAAATATTTTTCTTTTTTCTTTTTTTTTTTTCTTTTGAGACAGAGTGTTGTTCTGTCGCCAGGCGCCAGGCTGGAGTGCTGCCGCACCATCTCGGCTCACTGCAACCTCCGCCTCCCGGGTTCAAGCAATTCTCCTGCCTCAGCCTCTCGAGTAGCTGGGACTACAGGTGCGCGCTACCACGACCAGCTAATTTTTGTATTTTTAGTAGAGACGGGGTTTCACCATGTTGGTCAGGATTGTCTTGATCTCTTGACCTTGTGATTTGCCCGCCTCAGCCTCCCAAAGTGCTGGGCTTACAAGCGTGAGCCACCGCGCCCAAACCTCATAATAGCAAATAATTGAATCTAGTGGAAGACCTTTTAAAAGTTGTTCTATTTTAATTTCACATTTAGGAATGCCCCATTTCTTTATTTTTGGTCCCGCAAATGACATCTTGATGCTGGGAGTCTTGAGTCATATCATGGCTTCATAGAATGCATCTGGTCCCTGGTCATCTTGTAGCTACACCATCTACATTTTTTTTTTTTTTGGTATAATCTTTTTTATTCAGAAAAAAAAAAAAAAAAACCAACCCAAAAAACAAAAAAGTTTTCCAACCACACACAGGAGGGGTATGGGTAGGGGGAGGTGTCTGTCTATCCAGCCCTGGCCCCCAGCGCATGTGGTTTTGGCAGCAATAAGGAGTGTGGGGTAATGGCCCCAAAAACAAAACGGTGTTGTGTGTATGGGGAGGAAAAGGGTGCAAAACTGTGGGGAGCAGTGAAGGGGAAGGGACAGACGAGGTCAGTACTGGGCACACCGAAGGTAGGAGGCCATTTCATAACATTTCTTGTTGATCAAACCACCGTGGACACCTTCTTTGCCCATCAGCAGGACTAGCGTCTTGTCAGTCTTGGTGACAGTGACAGTAACATTGAAGGTGGGGGCTCCACCAGTGCTCTTGGTATGAAGATCCATGCTAAATTCCCCATCCTGCAGCAGTGAGTCCCAGATAATCGAACTCTTCTGGCCCCCAAGTGTCAGCGCATTCACGTAAAAACTTGACCGGTCTTTGCCAACCAGGACACCAACCTCAGCTGGCGTGATGTTGACAAAGGTTTTCGCAGGGACAGCGGCCCAGACGTAGGGCGAGTCCTTGTAGCCCACGATGGCCGCGTCCTGACAGGTCCCGTCCACCGTGAGGTTGTCGATGTAGGCGTTCCACCCAGCCATGGCGCTGCTGCTGGGGCCGCTGGGTTCTAGTTGCCTCGGCTGGCGGGCGGGGAGAGGCGAAGAGCTCGGGGAACACGCTGCCGTCCGGACCGCTGCTCTGCTCACTGTGCAGCCGCCCTCGCACCGCCACTTCCATTCACAGTGTTTAATGATGCCTTCTGGTGCGTATTTGGTGGCATCTCACCCATCTTCACTCCCTGAAGTGGCTGCTCCTTCTCACCTGTCTGCTGAGATGGGCGTGTCCTCAGAAGGTTTCACCTCACGTACCCCTTGCCATTATCTGCATCCTCTCATCAGAGCCACATTTTCGCACCAATTTTTTCTCTCAAGTAATTGCCATGTCCTTCTCAGTGGCAGTTGCCCCCCATATGATCCTAAGGGTCAAGGAAATTTAGGTGATCTCTAAGGCACTACCTTCTTTAATGAGCTTTTCTGCTTTAAGATATAATTATCTGGAAAGAGATGTAATTATCCTTGATTTTACAAATAATATGGGTTGGTTTTACTATCCAGCCCAAAATGTGACAGGTGGGGTGGCAGAAACAGTTCTCTCCATGCAAGCAGCCATCACGCTTACCCATCTCTACCAAACAACACCTTCACTCTCCTAATTTTTTATTTATTTTTATTTTTATTAATTTATTTTTTATTAAAGACGGGATTTCACCATGTTGGTCAGGCTGGTCTTGAACTCCCGACCTCAGGAGATCTGCTGGCCTTGGCCTCCAAAGCGCTTGGATTACAGGCATGAGCCACTGCGCCCAGCCCCCACTCTCCTAATTAACCAGGGAGGAGAGGGGGCCTGGTTCTTCATCTACTCCCTTTCTGCTGTTGATCGAATAAAAAACCTTATACCCTAATTCCTTAAAGGACATACCATTTTGAAATATTGTAATTCTTTTTCACTTTCTAATTTATGACAAATATAAACACTTCATTCCTTAATTTAAACAATAAACAAAACAAAAATCATAACGATGATATTTGAACAAAAAAGACACATATGATTATATATAAAAAAGATATATATGAGTAGATTAGGTGCAGTGGCTTACGCCTGTAATCTCAGCACTTTGGGAAGATGAAGTGGTGGATCACTTGAGGTCAGGAGTTCTAGACCAGCCTGGCCAACATGGTGAAACCTCATCTTTACTAAAAATACAAAAATTAGCTGAGTGGCAACTGTAATGCCAGCTACTTGGGAGGCTGTTGTAGGAGAATCACTTGAGCCCAGGAGGCGGAGTTTGCAGTGAGCTGAGATCACGCCAGAGCACTCCAGCCTGAGTGCTTTATTATTATTATTATTATTTTGAGTGCTTTATTTTTGAGATGGGCAGGATGTGTCCACACACAGAAAAAAATGTTAATTACTTCAAAAAGAATTTCAAACAGGAATAATTCACATACACCTACTGAAGTATTTTACATTATTATAGGCATAAAGTTTAACAAAAATAATGATTAGGCTTCAAAATAGAGGAAAGAAAAATAAATACAATTACAGTAAAAAACCTGAAATTGTACTGTTAAAGAAGAGAGCCTAGTGAGTATGCATTTCTCAGAAATTAACATATAGACTAAAACATGAAACAGCAGAAGATTAGAAAAACATATTTAAGAAAACTTATGAAAACAAAACTTGGCCAGGTGCAGTGGTTCGCGCCTGTAATCCTAGCGCTTTGGGAGGCCGAGGTGGGTGGATCACAAGGTCAAGAGTTAGAGACCAGCCTGACCAGCACGGTGAAACCCCATCTCTACTGAAAATATTTTAAAAAGCCGGGCGTGGTGGCACGTACCTGTAATCCCAGCTACTCGGGAGGCCGAGGCAGGAGAATCACCTGAACGTGGGAGACGGAGGTTGCAGTGAGTGGAGATCACATCACTGCACTTCAGCCTGGGCGACAGAGTGAGATTGAGTCTCAAAAAAAAAAAAAAAAAAAAAAAAAAAACTTGCACCAGTGATAACTTAGCCATAAATTTTGCTAGAAAGTCAAATCAGAGATCAACTCCATCAGCCCCAACACTTCATTCCATTTTAGCCAATATTTCATAATATGTGTTTGGACATTGGAATCAAAACAGAACTCATTAAAAATAAGCTATAAATTCTAAAACAATTTATAGTATCCTCAGCATTATATAAGGGTCTTATAGAAGGTATTTTATTTAAAAAAATTTTGAAAACTAAATTGTATTTTCAAAACGTATTTTAAAACTATTTCAAAACTATAAAAAGTATATTTTAAAACTAGTAGATATATTGAATAATCAAATGCTTATATTCATTTATAATGAGTCAAATTGAATTCAAGGGAAAAAATATCGTATGCCATTTCTGTACAAAAATTAGAAAGAAATGAAGAAGCAGATGCAGATTTTAAATAAGATGTTAGAGCCAGGAGCGGTGGCTCACGTCTGTAATCCTAGTACTTTGGGAGGCTCGAGGCAGGTGGATCACCTGAGGTTGGGAGTTTGAGACCAGCCTGACAAACATGGAGAAACCCCATTTCTACTAAAAATACAAGAAATTAGCTGAGTGTGGTGGTGGGTGCCTGTAACCCCAGCTACTCAGGGGGCTGAGGCAGAAGAATCACTTGAATCCAGGAGGTGGAGGTTGCAGTGAGCCGAGACTGTGACATTGCACTCCAGCCTGGGCAACAATGCAAGTCTTCGTCTCAAAAAGAAAAAAAAAAGATGTTAGAATAAAAATTAGTTTAACATTAAGGAAGAATAAGCATTCATTTTTACATATGACAAGAGAAGTGATGAATAAGTGTAAATTAAATAGAGAGTATAAATCAGATCAAACATTTTTCTGGCACACTGCAGACAATGTGCTAGTAAAAAAGTCAACACATCACAAGGTGCTGAATCTTGGTTCAGAGTCATCATCTTATCTGTGTGTAGAATCCAAGTGTGACAGTAACCATGCCAACTTTTGACTGCCTCTAGATGTGAGATTCAGAACCTTAGCAGTGAGCTGTGTTTATTTAGAAAGTGACAATACTGTTGACTGGGAGCACATATGAGAGTAACAATCTCACCAGTATTTTGGGCCCTTTCATAAGGCTCTCTCCACATAAGGGCATTATAAATTAGGCATAAGAGTCACAATACTCTCTGAGTCCTGTATGCTTGTGTGGACACACAATCTTACACATTGCTTTAAGCTCAGTGAGGGGAGTCAACATCTCTCCTATTGGTTCTGTCCAGGAATGAGATTCATCACTGTGCCTGTGAGTGGAGTTCAGAAATATGTCACCATTACACATATGGCAGTCACAATGTCAACTGTGGACTGCACACAGGAAAGATTTAGGACTTTGCAGTGGGTACTGTCTGTGTGCGAGGGTGACAATCTTAACTTGTGACAGGATGTGTATATGAAAGTAACAATCTCAACTGTGTGTTGGACCCTGTTTTAGCATACTCTATATCACTTGAGAGAATTATACCATATGCTAGGTCATAGTCCTCTGTGACCTCTGTACAGGTAGGAAACTCAGGACCTTACCAGTCAACCTAATGCTAAATGCGAGTCAATATATGTCTTATTGGTTTGGTCTAAGCATGAGAGTTAACACCATGCTTATAAGGTGGATCCAGAAACTAGTCACCACCCAGCCTGAGGCCATATACACATATGACAGTCACAATTTCAACTCTGAACTGCATCCATGTGTGAGATTTAGAATTTCACTAGTGGACTCCATCCACATATGAAGGTGACAATCCTAATTGTTGGCTACATATGTCTGAGAGTGACAAATTCACTGTTTGCTGGGCCCTGTTATATAACTCTCTATACACCCCAAAGGCTTTATAAAATACATGTGAGTGTCATAATCTTCTGTGACCTTTTTTTACAGTTAGTAGACTAAGGACCTTAGTTGTTGCCCCAAACCTAACTATTAGAGTCAAAATTTCTCCCATTGGCTTGGTCCATGTAAGAAAGCTATCATCATGACAGTTGCCTGGGCCCTGGTATAGGTCACAACCCCACCCATGAGCAGAGCCAGGGAGGAAAGTCACATCACCTGAATGCTGGTCCAGGGAAATGTCAATATCCCTCCATGGGCAGGACCCACACAGAAAAATCACATCACTTTTGTGCTAGGCTCAGTGATACGTCAGAGTGCCCATTGCGTGCAGAACGTGGTCTAAAGAGTCACATCACCTGGGCGCTGGGCCTAGCAATATGTCACAATCCCCCCTGTTCACAGGGCCAGTCATGGGAGAAGAGTGGTACCATCTAGGTAATATGCCCAGATTTTTGTTACTGAAGGCAAGAAACAGGCAGGAAAGTAGAGTCTCATTATCCTGGCGATGGGCTCAGAGATACATTACAATGACCCTTGTGGGCAAGGCCCAGGCAGGACAGTCACATCGCCTAGGTGTTTGGGTCAGGTATAAGTAATAATCTCAACTGTTGGCGGGGTTTATGCAGGGAAGTAAAGTCAATGAGGTGCTGAAAAATATTTTATGTCAAAGTCACATGTGCAGAAAGGTCCAAGGATGAGATTCACAGCAGCACACATGTTATGCCTCAAGGTATAAGAGACAACACCTGTAATTAGCAATAAGCACACAAATAGAAATATCAGTGATGGAGAGAATTTATGCATGAAAGCTTCAACCTCACCTGACTAATTAGGGCAGTCAGTCACTGGCTCACGCTTGTGCTGAGTTCTGGTATAAAATTCACCATTCTACCTGTGAACTGAATCCATGTATGAGAGTCACAATGTAAACTTTTAACTGATCTTGTGTGATATTTGGAGCCTCAATAATGGGCTGTGTCTGTATGGAAAGATGATATTCCTCATTGTATGTTGTGTGTGCATAGAACAGTCACAATGTTACCTATGTGCTGGGTCTTTATTTTTTTATTTTAATTTTATTTTTTATTATTAGTTTTTAAAAATGGGGTTTCACCATGTTAGTCAGGCTGGTCTTGAACTCCCGACCTCAGGTGATCCGCCCACCTTGGCCTCCAAAGTACTTGGATTACAGGTGTGAGCCACCATGCCTGGCTGTGCTGGGTCTTTATAAGACACCCTCTGTGCCACTTAAGAGCTTCATACAGTCTGCATGAGAATGAAACCTGCTCTGAGATCTTCCTGATGGG